AAAGAGGTACATTTTTTTGCATGGAAATATGTATTTTTTTATTGTAGGCCTGTAATTTTTAGGAATAACTCACTGAAATCTGTCCGAACAAGAGTCTAGTAAACATCCCGGGTATGTTAAAACTTGAAACACAAAATCATAAATTATAATTTCATAAATAATCATAAAAAAATAATAATATAATAATAAATTTAATTCAATAATATAATCAAACCAAAAACACTGAAATTTGAAATATAGCGCCAAGTTCGCACATCACTGAGCAAAGTCGCAAAATCGTTTTCAGTGTCTGATGACGAATTTCCCCCACGAATCATTATCACTCAATTCTGCAAGTGGTTCTGATTTACTATCGCTGTTCTTTAGTCGGTCTAAAACCGATTTTGACCAAAAGGGACGCTTTTTGGACTCCATGGACTTTTCTAAGTTTCCAGGCAGAAAGAACAGTAAAAATGCAGGCAGGGCGCAGGACAAAGCACTTGGGACAAAATGTATGTGAAATGGTTTGATACAGGAATGTTTTACTATGTCAAATTAATTTCTAAGAAAATGACAGTTTCTAAAAACTTTTAAATTTCCCGCCGGTTCCGGCCCCGTATGTCCCGGCGCTTGCAGGGACTGGAACACGGAAGCCAGATGCTGGCATCGGCCCGAGGAGATGGCCGGGGACGCTGCAGGGGACACATCGCAGGAGCGCAGAACAAGGTAAGTGCTGCAGGGAATCCCTGAGCAAACGCCGCATGGTAAGCCCGAGTGTAGCTCAGGGTTACCGCTTTTGGTATTAAACTTTACCCCGAGCTACACTCGGGAATACCGCCAGGGAGGTTAATTCCTAAAGAGAATCTGCACCAAAAATGCAGCAAGCTGGAGCTTCAAAACCACTCTGTACTAAAATCCACAAATGGAAATGCATTGAGGAGCAATGAAGCTTAGTTTTGTGCTGCAATGTTATACAAGGGTCACATCCTGAATGTTTGAGTTACTTTGTATTCCCACATAATGCACTTATGTATCTAAAATCTATGGGAAAAAAAAGGTTTTAAAAAATGTTTTAAAATATTTGAATTAGTAAAAATATACAAAAAAAGCTATATATTCTTTTTAACATTATCATTAAAAATGATTTTTGAATCAAATGTTCTTTTATTTGGTATGACTTTTCCATTCATTACCTTCAAAAAGTGAAATGTAATGGATGAAGTGCATTCAAACTTCAAACAATACCTTTATTTTCTGTTGACTCAAAACTGCAGTTTCCCATATACATTTGTGTTCGGCCTTAAATTCTCCAAGTATTTAATATTAATATCTCTTTGCTGACCACATTATCTACCTTTTAGTGTGTTTATTTTTTTTCTCTCTCTCTCTTCCTCTCACTGCCGTGGCTTAAACAGAACATCCCTTGTCAGTCTGGAAGTAGAGATAGACAAGAATGGTAAAAAAGGCTGCATATTGGTTCCTATGAAAACCTCCATGCTCCTGCAGAATAACAGAAGGTACATTTGATTTAATGCTTCTAAACCCAGCAGTAGCATGATAACTGCTTCTGTTTCATAGAGATTAGAAGCCCAAAGGTATCTTTCTGAACCAAAACTACCCTACCAGTGTTGACTCTTTCCGTACCATCTACAATAGAACTAAACTCGTAAAGTGTTCTTTTTAAATGGAAACAGTTGGTGGTGAATGTAAAAAGTAATGATCTGGACAGCAATACTCTAAATTAATAATTAAAAAAAGTAAAAACAAAAGCAAATGAAAAAAAAACTCTTTAGGGTGGTCAGACGATGGCATTCCATGTTTCTAAAGTCAACAAATGAGGTTTAATGTTGTTAAATGTAAAGTTATGCACTTGGGGGCTAAGAATATGCATGTATCATATATACTGGGGGGGTACAACTGGGGGAATTAATGGTGGAGAAGGATCTGGGGGTTCTGGTAGATCATAAGCTTAATAATGGCATGCAATGCCAAGAAAGCAAAATTCTTTCTTGCATTAAAAGAGGTATAGACTCCAGAGAGAGAGATATAACTTCCCCCGGTACAAATCATTAGTAATACCTCATCTGGAATATGCAGTTCAGTTTTGGGGCACAAATTCACAAAAAGAACATTGGGGAACTGGAGAAAGTGAAGAGAAGGGCAATGACACTGATAAGAGGCATGGAGGAGCTCAGCTATGAGGAAAGAGTAGAGGGACTGAATTGTATGTTTTTCTGAAAAGATGAGATTAAGGGGGATATGATCAACATGTATAATACATCAGTGGTTCATATAGAGAACTCGGTGTAGAGTTATTAATTTTAACATCATCACAGAGGACAAGGGGGCACTCTTTATGTCTGGTGGAAAAGAGATTTCATCTTCAAATACAGAAAGGCTTCTTCACAGTAAGAGCTGTGAAAATGTGGAATAGACTCCCTCGAGAGTTGGTTATGGCCAGCTCAGTGGATTGCTTTAAAAAATACACAAAATCTAACTGGATACTAACATTTTTAGGTTACGTTGATCTAGGGAATATCCGATTTCCTCTTTTTCTGGTTTTTTTTGGGGGTTTTGTTTTTGCATTACTCTGGATCAACTGTGGGTATAGGATTGTGCATATGGGATTGTATTTTTTTCTTTTTTTATTGGTTGAACTAGATTGTCTTTTTTCAACCAAACTAACTATGTAACAATGCCTTTGCTAGAAGGTGGACCTCTGCCTATAATTTCTATAGAATTAGGTATTTCATCCAAATACCTTTGATGGTTTCAAAAAGGAAATCTTTTACCCCCATCAGGATGAATTGGTTTCTCTAACAAGAAAAAGGAAAATTAAAAACAACCATAACTATATTGTGCAATGCCATTCATAAATATTGTGAAAACAATCTCTTTTTGGTTGGCTGATGTTTTTTTTTTGGCAAAATTTTAAAGTTCCCAACACATGCCACATGACATTAGGTCCGTCTTCTTATCCTGACCCGTGCTGTCTCAAATGGGTTGCAGTTTCTTTATCATTTTAATCTATTTCATCTACAATCATTTGAAATTACCAATTTTCCCAATGGCAGGAGTAGATAATTTATATGATTTTTTTTTGTGAAATTATCCGTGACCAACATTTCTGTAAGTGTGGTTGAACTTTCCACTTTTTTTCGTGGAAAGTCCACTTTTTTCTTAAACAACTGCCTAACTGCTGTTAGAATTTCATCAATTGATGTCTCTTCCCAGTAGGCTTTGGGTAATTGGTCTTGATGCCTAGTTTTTTTTTCATTTTGTATACAGTGGGGGAGGGTAATAATCTGCCAGTTTTTTTTTTTTACCGTCTGTGTCCTATTGGGGAGATTTCCCTTCATTTCCATGTCATAGTCAAAACAGGGAGTGAGAGGAAATCTACCAAAGTGAGGGTATCCCTTGTCACCAGGCTCACCAGAATCAGAATTAGTGTCCACATTGAAGGATTTTCCCTATATTCCTGTTCTTGGGCGTTTCTTTTAATTTCACTCTGGATGATAATGGTAAACAAGGCAAATAGACAGGGAGATAGCACAAAAGTTTTGCTTTTAGTTATACTTTAAGAATTTACTCCACGTATTCCACTTTATTCTCAAACACAATTTGTCCCATACTATCAAGTACTTCCCATACTTGACTTTCACTATTACATGCAATAGGGATTACTTCAGCACTACCACATGACATGACAGTTAGGGTTTATTTACACTTGTTTTGACTTTAACACACATTAATGAGCCTACCACTTCACTATGCTATTTTGATGTGTTTTTGATGCTTCAGTGATGCTTTTTTGAAGCTTTAATGAAGCTTGGCAAATGCCCTGTGTGTGCCTGTTGATTTTCTATTTGTTTTAAAGGAGCCCCGTAGAACCCTGGCTCAGTATTACCCTCACTCCACAGATCCCCACCTTATTAACACCTTTGTTCAGCAGAACCCCAGCTCATTAACACCTTTGTTCAGCAGATCCACAGCTCTTGGAACCATTGCTAAGCAGATTTCAAGCTTATTAGTACCCTCATTCAGCAGATCCCCTACTCAATAGTACCCCCAACTTTGCTGATGCCCCAATCAATAGTACTCTCAGCTTTTCTGATTCCCCCGCTCAATAGTTACCCACAGCTCTGCTGATCCCCTACTCAGTAACCCCTAGCTCTGCTGATCCTCTGGTTTGCTGATCCTCCTCTCGCTCTGATCCTTGTTCACCTCCTGCTATATTGTTCCCATGCTGTGCACCATGTGTGACATTGCTAGTTTCTCCTGCTCTGGTCTGCCAGCTCTGTTCATCCTCCTTCATTCAGTCCTCTCTCTCTCTCTCTGGTTCACCTTCCTTTATAGTGTTCCCATGTTGCACACCATATGTGCCATCTGCTAGTTGCTCCCCTTTAGTCCAGACCCTGCTCACATTCCTGTGCTTCGTGCTGCACACCAGATGTGACATCCGCACCAGATACTTCCAGAATATATACACATGAACCGTAACTGACTGCTGATGACATCGTTCTGGTTCACTTATTGGTTTCCCAGTGCATCCTGGGATATTTCATACCTGCAATATCTCCTGAACAAAGCAAAGCTACCTCTGAATAAAAGCCCCTCAAAAGCTGTAGGTGCTCTTAGTGAGCTTTGTCAGACTTCTGTGGATGCTTTAGAGATGCTATGCACCAAGAAAGTGACAAGGGGTATCATTTTTGAAGCAAAGCAAATGCAATGTGTGAATAGGACTATAAGCTTACCTTTTTTTTTAGTGACAGGGGCTTTGATTGGCATTTAGAGTGCTTTAAAAAAGCGTGTCCAATGCCACATTTTGAAGCATCTTAAAACAAGCTCTTACGTAGTTGGTTAGGCTTTCAGACTTGTTGAAATACATACTGTAGCTAATTTGTTTGTAATTTAGTACATAATTTAACTACAGCCTGTAAAATAGTCAAAACTAATTTTCTGTTGTTAAAGCTGAACTTCAAAGAGATGGTAAAACATAAATGCAGTTATGTACCTAATAAAAAAATAAAATAAATAAATAATTTAATTTAAATGCAATTGATATAAAAAATTATACTGACTTGGCTTCAGCCTCTTGTAATCCCCTTGTACAACTGCACTCTGGGAGATGGAGAGACAGTACCTGAGGTCAGTTAGATGCCTTACCTTCATATCCATTGACAAGTAACATGATGACAAGAGAGAACAAATATTCCTTAATTGGTTTACTTCTGCTTCTTCACTATCCAACCATGGGCTGAGGTCAGAGAGGCGACCAACCGTAGCTATGTTGCAGGGCTGTGGTCAACTCAGGATTGGATGAACATAATTACAAATTCTTTTATTGGGTAAGACAGTTCTTGAATATGTATGTTAGCTGTGTTCTTAGCTGTAGTTCAGCTTTAAGTAATCCTCTTTGTGGTCTGTATTTTTCCAAGTGAGACATTAAGCATTCCTAATATCACAAACCATCACAAAAAATCTATAATATATGACACATAAAGCTGGAAGCTTTCAAGCACATTTTATTTTTTCTTGTAACATACATTACTGTAAGAACAAAAGGCTCACTGCAGAAATGTAAAGACCCATAAACTATTCTGTAATAAAGTCAACCATTTATTTTTTTTCCACAAAAAAAAAAACCACACACAATGCACACCAGACACCAATTAGACTTGGTTGTTCCGTTATCATTAAAATGAAACTGACACTGAGCCAACACAGAACCAATGGATAGTTAAAATACTAACACCATCCCTATAACTAGTACAAAAAAGAAGCAACCAAAAGGTTAAAAAAAAAAAACCGGGGGACTTTAAAGGCAGAAAATGTAAGACATGAAATGTGTTAAAAGACAGATAGTCAATCTTTATTATTAGTACCAAAAAATAGCCGAAAGGACAAGATAAAACATAATATGATACACCAAATGAATAATCCAACATATACCCAAATGCATTACAGCAATATAGATGCATGTCTTGATTGGCAGTGGTATAATCTTCCCATAATTCCCAACATGTTTCGGAACGGAGTTGCTTCTTCAGGGAAATTACTGGTATAGTAGTTGGGAATTATGGGAAGATTATACTGTCTGACTATCTGTCTTTTAACACATTTCATGTCTTACAGTTTCTGCCTTTAAAGTCCCCTGGGTTTTTTTTTTTTACCTTTTGATTGCTTCTTTTTTTATCTTTAAAATTAACAACTTACTATAAAGTTAAACAATTGAGCAGGAAGATTATTTTTTTATTGCTTTCTACTTTGTCACTTATTATCAAAACAATCTAATAACTAGGGATGAGATAAACATCCCTGGGTTTAGTTTGCAGAAGTTGGGCTGAACATATCAAAAGTCTGAATGCTGAATCCGAACCCCTTTGAGGTCAAATCTGTCTAATCAATTTTCTTAATTTCTAAGGCTGATAGTCAAGGGATCAGCAAAAATAATGAGTAATTTCACTTTGGAACTAATAAAGTATTCTGAATGAATTCTTAAAAAGTGGATGGTGAGCTGGACACTGCTCTAGAGGACAGGAACTAATGCAAAACAAAATGCCATTTTGCAGGTAGCAGTGAATGTATTAATGCTGAAAGTGCAACTTTAAAAAGGCACTATTCATTTTAACAAAAACTGTTAGGAGGGTCTTCTAAACTTGCCTATGAAGTAGTACATCTCTGCCATGTAAGCAAAGTAACAGAAAAAGTGACATTTACAGAAGTAGAAAAATGTAGTTTACCACTTCCTGTCCGGCCATTGCCTATAGATGGCAGACTGGAAGCAGCGCCTCTACTAGGTAATGTACCTGTACGTCAATTGGCATTGGAGGCCCCTGTGAGGTTTACAGGAGCCTCTGATGGATCTGTCAATCCGTAGGTCATAACATGCTTTTACCCCTTTGGGGTTCCTTATGATGTCTCCACTCAAGTGTAACCTCAAAGGCAATAATTCACTGGAGAGTTATTGCCTTTGAGGTTGCACTCGAGTGGAGTCACTATAAGGAGCCCCAAAGTGGTAAAAGCTTGTTATGACCTGGAGATTTACAAGTCCATCAGTTGAAGTGAGTGCAGTGGTGAATGGTGGTGAGAATCACTATGCATGATTTGCATTCAACACAAGTGGTGCAGCACAGAAAGAGACTGATAATATATGAAGATATTTATTATTTTAGTCATAACCAGTTGCACATTTAAAACATTTGGCATATATATTTCTTCACAAATTTTATATAGAGGTATGGGATAATACAATTTTAATTTTTCATACCCCATACCAGCATTCTGATCACCCCATATGTCATACTATTGTCCGGATCACCGCCATACACTGTACCAATGTTCTGATCACTGCCATACCCCATACCAGCGTCTTGATCAACGCTATACCCAATAACATAGTCCTGATCACTACCATACCAGCATCCTGGTCATCACCATACCTCATGCCAACATTCTGATCACCACCATACCTAATACCAACGTCATGATCACTGCCATACCTCATACCAATCTCATGATCACTGGCATACGACATACCAGTGTCCGGCATTTTAGGGGTCTCAACTGATCTATTTTCAGATATATATCCTATAGTTTGTTGACTCTAGAACTTTCACACAGACTACATAATAAACACTTGTTTGGGTTATTTCTACCCCAAAAATGTAACAGAATACACTTTGCTCTAAATTTATGAAGAAAGATTATTTGCAAAATTTTATAAAAACTAAGCAACACATGTTGGTTTTTTTTTTTACTATTTTTCAGTGCTTTTTCATTTATATAGAAAACAATTTAAAGAATTTAGTGGTGATCAAATACCACCAAAAGAAAGCTCTATTTGTGTAAAAAAAAAAAAAAAAAAAAGGATAAACTTTTTCTGGGGTAGTGTTGCATAATCTCGCAATTGTCATTCAAAGTGCGACAGTGCTGAAAGCTGGCCTGGACTGGAAGGGGGTGAAAGTGTCCGAACTTGAAGTGGTTAAAATGGTGGTGATTCACATTTCCCTGCAAGCAGGGGCAGGCTGACCATTTGGAAACTTGGGCACTGCCCTAGGGCCCGGGGTCAGTAGGGGCCCCATGAGATGCCCCTGGTACCTTTTTTCATAGGCTTTTTTGAGTTTGGGCAAGGACACAGGGGCCCCATGATCCCCTATTGCCCAGGGCCCCCTGAGTTGTCAGTCCGCCCCTGCCTGCAAGTGTCCTTTTTTTGTAAACAATGCAGTGGGGATCCCCCCAAAACACAGATTCCAGACCAGTAACCAGGCTGGATCTAGGGGGTGCTGGGGTGGGCTATACCACCACAGATTTTACTTGTACCCCCACAGATCTCTTAGAGCTCACCCACTCCATGAGCCTGGCTGATGCAGACAGTTGATGTAAGGGGGCACTCTGATGGGGACAATCCATGTAAGTGGGCACTCTGATGGGGACACCTGATGTAAGGGGGCATTATAATCTGGATATCTGATCATATGTAAGGAGACACTCTTATGAGGACAACTGATGCAAGGAGGGGCTCTATTAGGGACACTAATGAAAGGGGACATGATGGTGTCACCTGAAGTAAGGGGCATCCTGATGAGGACACCTGATGTACGGGTGCACTCTGATGGGGACACCTGATGTATGGGAGAGCACTGATGGGATCACCTGATCTAACGGGAGACTCTGATGGGGACACCTTATGCTCGATGGCACTCTGATGAGGACTCCTGATTCAAAGGGGGACTCTAATAGGACATCTTGTATAAGAGGGCACAGGCTTTGTTTAAACACTCAAATCTAATGACAATCTAATGTATAATAATGTTCCCTAGGTCATGACAGATTGTCAGTGACACACACACACTGTTGACAATATGACTCCTGACTTTTTTTTACTGCACCCTTAGATCAGATAGGCTAGATCCAGCCCTGTCCATAACAAGAGGATGAGGGCCTGATATATAGGAAGAAAACCTAAGATCATTTGGTTCTCCAGAGTTTACAATCTTTGGCCTTTCAGTTCCAGCTCTGTCAAAAAAATGTAGTACATATGCCAGCATCTAAGCATTTACAAAGTTAATGTGGAATTTCAGTAAAAAGAAAAAAACAAATTTTGATAGATCAGCTAAGCCAAAACATACAATAAAGGCAGGAAATGTACATATTTTAATGACAGGATATAGTTTTTTTAGACCAAGACAAGGGGGAGAATTTCCATTAGGGAAGTGACTGCTCTGGGCTTCAACAAAATGGCGGCCTCCAGAGAGAAGAAATTGGAGCAATGTTAGAGGCAATTTACAGCACACACTAATATTTTGGTAGCATAATTATTAATGTGTAAAGTATATTCCTTTTGGAAAAGAACATTCATTTTGATCAAATTGTTATAGGTAAAGTTATGCTTTAACACACCAGGATAAAGACTCTTACTTTTGAAAAAGGTGACACTTATTTTCAACAGTACAATGTGGCTTGACAGGTAATGTAAAATGACTAAAATAATGATCCTTATCCTTGTGTTAATTCCTTGTGAAATAAAACAAACTATATAGCCAAATGAAGAACTCAAAAAAATGCCTTTTTTCTGGGACTATCATTTTTCAGATTTATCTGGAAATGTCCACAAATATAAAAATGAAAATAGTAAAAAAAATTACAATTAAAAATAAAAAATGCTTCCGTGCTGCCTTGTCTTATCTGTCACTTTAGGCTGTCTAAAAGTTCATTATGGTGAATACAGCCAAGCTTATGTTGATCTCCAGAAACATCCTTTTTTTTTTGCCTGGTTATCTTTTCTTGTGTTAAACAGTTAATTGTTTTGACATAATGAGCGCATCATTTATAAAATATTCTATATATGAATGCATTCTTTCCATGTTCACCATAGCATGGAAATTTGCTAAAGGACACTGCGTTAATTGCTCATCAACATTACATGTATTATAGAATTAGAGGTTAGGTCATCAGTTACTTGTCCAACAAATCACGTTCTGAACATATACTTATCACGCAAGCCTCTTATATTTCTGCATGTGTTAATTGCCTAGAAGGGTTTTATGCAAAAGAGTTTTTTAATTTATATAACATATATGCATGAATAAGTTATCTACATTTTCAAGGATACCGTAACT